AAAAAACTACCAACCAAATAAAAAAAAATCTTGTCTCAAGTCTTCAGGCTTCTCTGTAGTAAGTTGTCTTTATTCAGAAACTTCATGCCCAGATTGCAGTGTATTAATGAGAAAAAAATCTACCTCTCCATGATGAGCCTACCAAATTTTGTCCTTAAAACTTCATCCTCTATAAATGGGAAGTCTTTTGCACATGCTCTGAAACATCTATACAGAGATTAAACTATGCTCAGATACTATGTGGCTGTTTACATTTGTAATGGCTCATATTACAATTTGGCTTTTTTTTCATTATTTATGAGGTAATTTTAGGTGTACATTGTTTTGTAAGTGTAATAAATTTTGTTGAGGGCATTGTACTTGAGGGCTACAATAGCGAAGGAAGCTGTAACACAGGAATAAAAAAGTTACTATATCCTTTCAAAGTTGAATAAAAAAGTTTATTTGACCCCAAAGATGATGAAAAATTGTGTAATTTACCATTGTTTGGCACCTGGCCTTTCCAAGTTGGCCTTTGCAATAGGTTGTAAAGGAGACCAGAAATCCAAGAAAATAACTAGTTCTTTCAGCTGTCTCTGGTTAGAGAGGATGTTCCACATGGTTTTCCATAAAAGATTCCTGAGGGTATGCTCTTGTGGGGGGACAGGATGAGACATAGTAGTTCTGTCTTGCCTTTTAAAAATCATGGTTCTGTCTCTGGAGCAGTGAGTCTTCTGACTACCTAAGCAGTGGGTACAAGGAACAGAAGCTAGGTGCAGCTGTCATGCATGGGGCTTTGCTGGGCGCAAGGGAAGCCTTAGGGCTGAAGAAATTGAATGCAATCCAGCAGAAATCCCACTTGGATTGTAGCAACAGAGCAGTTAACCCATAATTTACTTAACACTTTGGGGTGTGGTTCCCAGCCATGGACCTGTGACAAGCAGTTTACCCTTGGGGGTTTGTAAGTACCCAGAAGGTCAGTGTGTCAAAAGAAGAAACACTGGGTTTATTTATTTTTTAATTTTTTTTTTTTTCCCCCATTTGCTTTCTCTTACACATTCATTTGGGCAAGACAAGGTGAATGAGCAATGGCATCAGTCAGCTTCAGTGATAGCTTCCTGAGGGGTCTTGGAAAAGGTATTTAACTTGTTTGTTTGTTTTCATCTTTGTTTTTTTCACTGGTTTTAGGTTTGCAATGGTCCTTAACAAATGGTGCCTGGCAGTCTGTGCAGATCTGATGTTTGAATTGTTCAGCCAAGATGGGGCTTGTGGTAGCCTACTCTAGTGTCAAGACTCACGCTCTCTGTGTTGCTAATATTTTCGTGTAATCCTCTATAGCATTACTTGTATCCTCCTTGATATCTCTAGTGGATAAGGATACTTCACACATAATAGTATTCTTTGTTTCACAGGTTTCATTTATTCACACAGTGAGCACAGGAAGTTCCTGTGGGGAAGATTACATACTGAATTGACATAGAGTGCTTCCAGAAGGAGTCTGGATTAAAGTTATAGACAGCTTTTGGTGAAGCATTTATAAATGGATTCCAAGAAGTTAATTTTCCTTGGACATAATCTTCTAACATAATTTCCAAATAGGACTCAGAAGTCTGAAAAACAAATAAAACATATGATCCATATCTTTCCTTCCAGAGCTCCACGATATCTCTGTTGCTTGGTGTGTTACTGCTGTGGGGGAGCAGAGCATCCTTATTTCTTGAGATTTTTTGTAGAATTTAGGTTTTAAAGGCTTTAGAGACAGCAGTACATCTCTGCAGAGGTGACTAAGATGTTCTCATTGCCTCAGCAAGTCCAGGCAGACTTCTACTGCAGAGCAAAAAGCTGATCTTCACCAAAGAACAAGATTTCCTCTTCTAGATCTAAGCCCCAGCTCTAACACATTAAATAATTGTTGGGAGTTTCTCCATAAAATGGTGGTGATGATGATGAAGGTGTAAGCAAACACTTTTTTCACTAACGTCATTCACTCAAAGCACTGCACCATTTTCAGCTGAAACTTAAAATTCCTGGCAGCAAAATGAAATTGCAAGGTCAGACTGAACAGCCTTGCATGGTAAGCAGGGCTTACCTCATTTCTTCTTTCATGCTTTCAATTGCTGAAAATACTTCTTAAAACCCCCCAGTCAGACCGTAATCCCTGTGAGCACTTGGCAGTGGTGGGGAGTACCCCATCTCTGTGTGAACATGCAGACCTGGCTCTGCTGGCTCCAGGTTGTTGTCGCCCACCTCTGCAAAACGCTTCTCTGTTGTGGTAAAGATACGCAGCACTAGTTGAGTCTACTCTTGAGGAGTGATATGTATGTCTGTATGGGAGTACTTTACTAGCCTAAACCTGGCATACTCATTTTTCAGGTTTTCTCAATATGGATTATATTGAAATAAAGTTGAAGGGTTGTGTTTTATGTGTGGTAAGAAATAGAGCTGCTGTTGGGTGACTGAAAGATGACAGCCACACTTCATGGGCTAATTGTGGAAGTGAAGGTGGTCCTTGCCAAGAGAAGAGCATGTGCTGTGGAGTGGACTAGCTTTTGCTTAACGGGTACAGTTAGTAAAGGAACTGCAGTGTTTTTCAAATAAGTGTCCAAAAAGGAACAGCCACAAGGAAAAGCTGTCTAAATCCTGAAGGTGTGTGTTGGCTCGTCATTGAGTTGGCTTAGTTCATAGCCTTGAGGCTGACTGCTGAAATATACTTAGTTTGTCAGAAAACTCTTTAAGTCTCCTGGGTGTTTTGGTTTACTTCCACAAGAAAGGAAATACAGAATGAGTGTTCTCATACATTGTCCTCTTGAGTGTATTTTACTGTTGGAAGACCCAGCTTGGCCACACGTGAAGCAGCGAACAATGATGAGAGCTAGATATTGTAATGATTCCAAGCATTTGCAGGAAATACTCAATTGCACTCATCACAAGTATGAATAGGCAATTCTTAGGAAGTCTTGGTCAAGTTTTGGCATCTCTTAAGTTTTCATCAGTTGTGTTTAATCTTCAACCTTCAGTGGTCAAAATTTTAGAAAATTGAAGCAGAGAACTTAATATTGTGGTGTGGTGATGGTGTGGTCAGTACTGTACAAGAGTCAAAAAAGCAACAAAAAAGTCCATGTTCCAGCAGATTTGTACTCTAAAAATAGAGATGATACAGTTCACATACATAATGGATGATCAGAAGATGAATTTGCTGCTAAGCAATGTAGTTAGAATACTGATGCCTTTAATAGCATTTTTCATCTAGTGTTTAAAAAAGTGGGCTTGACATGAAGTAGTCTACTTCTGTATTCTGTTAGTAGCTTAAAAGGTAGCTTATAAAGCACTTACCCTCAGATGAGGTTTGAGAAATATCTTTTCTGATAGTTAAGCTAGTCATTGCCCTTCTCATTTATTGGATTATTTTTTCCATCTGGAGTTCTTTTGGAATTGTACCATGTTAGTGTTTCTCATTATCCTGGTTCTGTACCTGTAACACGGAAAATGAAAATGCCTTTTAAAAGGCATAAATAATTTTATATTTTGGTGTGTGCACCTGCTGCTTGGAACAAATGAATGCTTGCAGCCTCAGTGCTTTCACTTCTGTCATTCAGATTTTAATACAGCCCTGTTAGGTAACTGAGAATCTGGGGTTTTACACAGAAGACAACAGTTAACAGTCTGGACTGAACCAAAGCAGACTGCACATCAGGAGCAAATAAGAGAGCCTTGAGTCTGTGGTTTTGAATTCCCTTGGTCAGTTTGCTCTCCCAGCAGTCCATGTGAGATGTGCTTGTAGGACGTAATGAAGTAACACCGATGTTCCAAGTTATTGGCAGCCTGTTTCAATACCTGTTTTTAGCATAGAACCTTTTTTAATAATGTTTTCTTGATGATTTCCAGGAACAGCTGAGAATTTTTGTAGTATGCATAACCGGTCTGGTGCTGTCAAATTGAAAAGGGTACACAAAGATACTTGGCTCTCAGATATTTTATTACTCTTCTAACTATAAAACTGAATTAATAAGAAGAGAGTTCAACCTGCCACAGCTTATTGCAGGGATATTTTCTGTCTTGTTTTATTGCCCTTGGAGGATTTGATTTCTCATTATGATAATACTGCTAATTAGTCGTGATGTCTCCCCAACACTAAGCCATAGTCACTGTTTTGCTGGTGCAGTGTAGCAGTAGAGGAAAAAAAACCCACAAAGCATGCATATGCCCTTTATTTAAATTGTATGCACCTGTATTTGACAGACACTGCCATTAAGTAAGCTTTGAGATGACTGATAACAGTGTTTGTATGTTTGTAAAAACTTAATCCTCTTGAGCCAAGAGCTGGATGTTATGGCTGAGGTTTGTCACTGATGGGTTTGCTTTGTTTCGCAGTAGCATGTTTCATCATCTAGGTTTGCAAAGGATGCCGAGGTTGTGTTGCTGTGCCTGCACTGCTGGTGTTCGGACACAGAGCAGCAAAGGTCTTGTGTTTTAGCAAAGGCAGCTGTTCATCTTTGATCATGGAATTCCTGACCAGTAAATCTTCAAGTGGTTTTAAGAAATGAACAAGTGCCTATGCATCAATTTTGCCATGGCAACCTTCATAGCCCGTGATGAATATGACAGTTTAAAATAGCTAAACTGGGTGAAAGAGAAGGATATGCTACCTTGCATCTAAGCTGGGGTAAAGCCTACAGACTGGCAAGTAAAATAAGCTGTTTGAAAGTGATATGGTGAGGAATATTAAATCAGAAGCAGGCTTCTTGTCCCTTCTCCCTGGTCACCTCTAGCAGCCTTCTTCCGTCTGATTAGCCTTTAGGCATCAGCGTGGTTTTGAGTTAGCATAAACTTCTTGTCATACTGCATGTGATACACTGAACTGCTAATCTGAGTAATTTCAAGCCTGTTTGTGTCTTGGTACTCTTTTAAAAAAATTATCAAGGTATATGCATTGTTTCAATGTAGATTAAGAAAAATACCTACTGCTTCCTTTAGTGCAGTGCACTTTCTCAAGCCACTCTTTTCCCTGGTGTTTCTTGCAGGTGTTCCGCAAGGATCTCATTAGTGCCATGAAACTACCAGATTCTCACCATGTTAACCCTGATGAATATTATATCTTTGCGGACACATGGAAACAAGAATGGGAGAAAGGGGTTCAAGTTCCAGCCAGTCCAGAAACTATTCCACAGCCTTCTCTCAGGTAATGACAATCAGATGCAGATCACGTACACAAAACGCAAAACAGCAACTTGGAGAAGATGCTCTCTCAAAAATAGGTTGTCTAAATGCAGTCAGCTTTTCTGTATTCTTATATTTAAACCTCCAATGCAGCAGCCTTCAGGCATGTTCTTAAACCAAGCAAGTACCAATTTGGAAAACATTTCTGTGGCACTTCAGATCTGGTTCTGTCTGTACACTGTTATAGCATCTACACTGTGAATTTAAAAAGGTTTTTTTTTCTCTCCTGAGTCACACAGTGTTATGGATTAAAAAGTTTCTCATTTGAGTATGGCAGGTTTAATAAATTAAAAATAAACCCAAATCTTATACGTGTTATTTGAAAGGCTTCCATATAAAGCATGATGATAACAGAGCAGGAGGCATGCAGTAGTTACTGATACCCTGTAAAGTTACTCGTTCATGTAATTTTAGTTATTATTGCCAAAGCCTTAATCCTTCTGCCATCTCTTGCCAAAAATTGCTGCTTAACATTATAGAAAATCAGTGATCTTGGTAGATAAATAACCTTAGACTAGGAAAACATAACAATAGTCCTGCAACTCTTCCTGGGGCAAACAGAGTGTGTTTCAACACAGAAATGTTGTTGCCAGCATGGTCTTTGAGACAAGTGAATTGTCCAGTGAAAGCACTGATGCCAGCATAATTTAATTTCTACTGGGCTGTTGTCAGTACCAAGTTATTAAAAATAACTATATTGCATCTCATATCAGCAGTATTACATTAGAAGAAAAAAAATGCTATAGATTTGGCTGGACCAGAGAAAAGAAAAGCTCACAGGGGAACAAGATGAAAAAATGAGCAAGGTGAAGGGGGAGGAAGAATGGCAGAACACTGTACTGACATTGACAACTCTCATTGTCCAGTAAGAACTATGTAGGATGCTGTTTGAGTGCTGCCTGTTCCCTCTTTATTCTACTTGCCTAATTTCCCACTGTTTTTTCTTTTTTTCCTTGTCCTGTGGAAGGTTAGTGCTAGAAAGCATGCAGAGTTGCTCATGCATGGCACTGTTCCAGTCAGTATCTCCCTGGCTTCCTTTCACATGCAAGTCCTCTTGCATTGAAGTCAGGGAAAGATTGACCTTATCTAGGTAAGGTCAATTTTTCCATTTCCATAGGTTAGTTTACTGATCAAATGCTGAGTTTTATCTCTTAAAATAATTGAAAGATTGAAAACAGCAATATTTTTCTTCCTTGCTTCCTGGATGATTTTTAGCTGGTTTTTCCCCCTTTATGTTTTTTCTTGGCATCAGGATGGTTCTTACATAACAAAAATAATGCTTTAGTAATGTGGATAAAGTAATTTACAAAATACGGGTAGACTGTTTATCCCAAATGAAGAGCAAGCATTTCTACACACTGCAGTAGAATAAATTAAGCTTTTGTGAAAAAGCTGTTATTTTCAAGAAATCAGTTGGCAAGACTTCCTTCTAACGTTTAAGAAGAATATAGAAAAAAGATTGTAGCAGGATTTTATGCATTATACTTTCTGTGGGTTTCAAAAGGACTTGCATCATCGCTGTAGTAGCATTTGTTAAATTCAAAATCATATGCACAGGCTTACATTTTAAGAAGGATTCTGTGTACGTAGCAAACGTTAACACATTTTGTGTGAAGAAATGACATTTACAGACTCTCATCTCTGTAGCCTGTCTATGTTTACTGGCTAGTTTAAAATCTGTGAAACACAAGGTTTCTTTGCACTTCTAGCAAACATTTCATGTCTTTCAAGGATGAGTCTTAAAAAGCTATAACCCTCTATTTCTGTTTTGTGGTGTTGTTTTTTTACTTTCATTCTAGGGTTGTAGCTGAAAAGGTGAAAGAAGTATTGTATACACGACCCAGGAAATACATCCACTGTTCCAGCCAAGAACCCACAGAACCAGGTTACATCAACATTTTGGAACTGGCAGAATCTGTCTGTCGCTATGACTTGGATGACATGGACATCTTTTGGCTTCAGGAGCTAAATGAAGAGCTTACAGAAATGGGTAATTTTACAACATGTTCTAATTTTAAAAGCAGTGGTTAATTTCTGGTGTTTGAGTTGTAGTTGGATGTGTGAGATCTCTTAAAGATTGCTGAATAAGAGTTGAATGGAAAGGCTGAGAAAAACAGGAGGAAGAAATGCTTAAAGTAATTACTTGCTTCATCTGTTAATGCTTTATATTTTACCTGTTATGCCGAAAAACTTCATCACATCCAAAATCATGTGCAGCTTCTGCAGGCTGAGGCAGGAGGAGATTATCCCACACCAGATGGAGTTGATTTTAGGACTTCAAAAGTTAAAAAATTTAATGTAGTAAAAGCAGATGTTTTCATTTCTTAAACTTGAACATATTACTGCTACAAATTCAGAGTTCTGAGGAGCTTGCATGCTGGGTTCTTAACAGAGTAATTAAGTTTCACACATGTTAGCTCATTTAAAATCAGCTAAGTAAACTTTTCTTTTTTCCATGCAAGTGGCGGTATAGAAGGCTATGAGGTCGAGTGAGCTGTGTAAAATAATCTTGGAATTATTTCTGGAATAACTGACTTGTGTTGGAATAGCATGTGTGGCTGACATTCTTCCATGGGTGATTACAGGTCCTTTAGGAAGGACAGGTGGGCAAAAGAGAGGTATTTGGCATGTCGTGGATTTGCTGTTCACAAACAAGGAAGAACCTGTAGGGATGTGCTAATCGATGGCAGTGTTGGGTGTAGTGGCTATGAAATTGTGGTGACTGAGATCCCGAGGGAAGTGAAGAGAGGAAGTAGCCTTGTGGTCCTGGATCTTCTCCTTATTTGGTTAACTGGCAGATGGGATCTGGGAGGCAGCTTTGAAGTTGAAACTGTTGAAGAGAGCTAGCAGGACTTTAAGGACAGTCTCCTCCAAGCACAGGAGAGATCAATCCACATTGAGGAGAAAAAGTAGATATGTCAGGAGACCAGTTTGTTGAAAAAGGGAACTCATGACTGAGCTCCAGTGCCAAAGGATGTATGTAAGAGGCAGAAGCAAGAACAAGCTTCCCAGGCATACAGGAATGCTGTTAGCAAAAGCTTTTCTGGGGGCCAGATCTCCATCCGTGGAGATTTTTCAAGATCTGGCTAATACATCTCTTGAGCAGCATCCTTGTCTAGATTCACCATTGACTGCTTGGAGCCAGGGACTAGGCTGGAGCCCTCTGAAGGTGCCTTCCATCTGAACAGTTCTGCAGTTCTTTTTGTTCAGGGACTGAAAAAATATCCAAGCATTGGGGAGAACAGTTTAATAGTAGAAGATACTTTTTATCAGCAGTCATTTATCTTTTCCATCTCTGTTTGTTTGTGACAAGGAGTTAAAATTAGTAGCCCTATTCTTGTGCATAGTCCAGGAGTTAAAATGTTAGCCTCTGACAGCAATGTCACGTGAGTATCCCAGCCTTTGAAAGTCTGAGTAAATAGTGAACTATGGGCAGCAGCATCATTTTTGAGTGAGGATTTTGATATTTTGAGAGGATGCAGTTTGGAGGTTTTTTGTAGCTGTAAACATTGTAGAGTTTTGTATTAAGCGTGTGTCCTGAAGCTGCAAGCTGAAGGCCAGTCTCATAGCAAATCCTTTCTATGTGGTTCTGTTTACACTGTGTTAATTAGTGGTAAGTGTATAGAGCATGTGTAGTGTTCAAGTGAACAGAGGTAGTATGGATTGCAAATAGTATATTTATCTGCTATTTTATAAAAAAAATAAAAAAAAAACCCTAAGAAACAACAACAAAACCCACAAAACAGCAACAAAAAAATATTAGTGTTTCTTAGTGATGGAGATGAAGGAAAGGTTGTATGGGAGCAGTTAGGAGTTAGAGCAACTGCTGTCTGTCTCTTGTGCTGTTGTGTTTTCTTCAAGGTCCCAGTCTTGTGTTATATATACAAAAACTTTTACTCAGGTAGTAGTTCTTAGCTTATTTATAAAATAAATCTGCAATTAACCAGTAAGTGGAAAAGGTTTTCTATTTTTATTATTTTTTAGTTTTAGTAAGAGTGATGGGAGAGGATGCCATGTCTACTGCTGTAGCTGCTAGAAGTTATCCTTCTCTCTTCATGCATCTCGGACTCTGTCAGAGGCACCTGACTGTCCTTTAATTCCCCTTCCCTATTCTGTGTTGCAGGATGTGGGCCCCTGGATGAAAACACAATGGAGAAGACGATTGAAGTGTTGGAACGGCATTGTCATGAGAACATGAATCACGCTATTGAGACTGAAGAAGGATTAGGTATTGAATATGATGAAGATGTCATCTGTGATGTGTGCCGGTCCCCTGACAGTGAAGATGGGAATGACATGGTGTTTTGTGACAAGTGTAATATCTGTGTCCATCAGGTTAGTAGTGCCTGCAGAAATGTTGACAGTGTCCTAGGGTCCTGGGATCTTAGTTGATGTTGGCGAATGTGGAATTTGAACTGGTATTAGATGTTTTGGGGACTTGCAAGTACTCTGTGACCATAACAGTTTTCCCCCTGTAATTAAACCTGCTTTTGAAGGTAAAACAGGGCAGGAAATTCTAGCTTGCCTATTTGTGAAGAACCTAAAGATCATTGTTTCAGAGCTGGGGTTTTTCCTCCTTGACTGACTAGTTAATTGTTCAGATGGGGGGTATCCAAATCTAGCCATCTGAAACCACATGTATGTGTAGGCACTTTAACAGACTGATCTTTTTAGAAGGTGTAAGCACCTGCAATAACTGTGCTCTCAGTCTGAAAGTTGCTCACGTTTATAATGTTTCATACGTAGCCAAGACTTTACACTGACTGGGCTCAGTATAGTGAGGCAGAGGTATCCTTGTAATCAAAAAAGGAATATGAATCCTGTAGTTTCTGTTCATCTTGTTCTGGAAGGGACTTTTGCTATAAATTGAGACGGGACTGTGAAGGTTTTTTAGTGTATTTTTGTACCAACTGCATGTAATACCCAGTAAACATACCTGGCTGAAAAAGGAGCTGTCATCTTCCTGCTTGCAGTGGGCTGGCTTCCAGCCCAGCTGCTTTCCTGATCTGATTCACTGTGTGTAGCTGCCATATGAAACCGAGTGCCAGTAATGTGGCCAGTGACAGGAATAGGGCTGGCAGCTGGGCTGCCTGCTTCAGCCTCTGCTGATGTCTGTTCAAAAGTAATGATGAATTTGCAGTAGGAGGCTTGTGGTTGCCTGCTGGCAGCTGAGCTTGATCTCATGGCCTGCTGCCTCCAAGCTCCTGACCTGTGCTGGATCTGACTGAAACTAACTGGGGAGCATGTCTGGGCTAAGGCTAATCCTACCCACAACAACAAAATCATTTGATTTTTAATCTGGATTGGCTCTGGTTCACCAAATAGCCTCAGGTCTGTTTGTCATTGCACAGTTAGGAGGGAGGGGGGAGTGTGAGAAATTTCCTCCTTCATGGTACCTTCTCGTGCTGGCTCAAACACATTGTGAAATTACTGGTTTAGTAGTCTAGGCCTCCTCTGCTTATTAGTTGGATTAAATCAGAAAATAGTTTCTGTTCATTTCCAACCCCCTAAATGTGATCTTAGGTGTAATGTCACTTCTGCTTTAGTAACAGAAAGGATGCTGGTAGGAATGTGCTGCATAAGGGAGAAAAAAATTATTTGTAACATTTAGATTACAGCTCCCCCTGTTGATTTTTGCAGCAGTCGCCACATCAAAATAGCTTTTAGACTAGTGAGTCTTGCAGAATTTAATTCAGGAAAGTCCCCCTCTCTGTGAGCCTGACATAATGTGCAATGTTTTATGGTATCTCCTCATATTAAATACTTGGCTCTTACAATCAGAAGGTTGGGAAGTCAAGTGTGGAAATTTTATACTAGATTTGAATCTGAAAGGCTAGTTGCAGTTAATCCTGTTCTACAGAGTGTTTCAAGTTACTGCTCTCAGAGACAGTGTTAGGAATGGTGGGATTTCTTCTGAAAGCCACCCTTTTGACAGAGCTTGTATTTGGAGTGGTTAGGTAGAGTTAGGCCTTAGTGGCATCCATGATTTTAGATCCACTCAGCTTGTTATGCGTGTATATATGTACAGCAGGATATGTATAGGTACATGTGTGGTTAGCCATCAAGAACCGCTAGGAATTTGAATTAGAAAGCAGGTTTGTTTATTCTGTTTTTTTTCCTTTTTTGTTTTTAATTCTCAATCCTAGGAAAACGTAAGCCCTTGGAAAATGAGAAATGTCTCAAGTGCAGTACTCAGGAAATAGTCATAAAACCCAGCACCCCATAATTTCAGTATATGCTGTAGTTTTTTTGTTGTGATACTATATAAATATTTAAAGTAACAAACAATTCACAGAACTGTAACCACAAAGGTAATTTAAGGTTGCAGGAAATGGTCTTCAGTCAAGCCACTCATATCCCATCACATCTAAATAGAATTTTATGTTACAGTGTAAAGTTAATAGCAGTAGGAAATTGTGATTTTAAAGAAGTAGTTGATGCAGAAGCTAATTTAAAGAGATGGCAACAGTTTTTGTTTTGGAAATTTAAATCTCTAAAAGGAAAGATGAAGGTTCTTAAAGCCAGTGGTGTTTTGCAGTCACAGTGGGTATGTTTTACACCATAACAAATATTGCAAGCACACTTGAAAAGAAACCAGCATAAAAAGTCTTTGCTTTATAGGCTGCTTGCTTATCTCTTTGATCACTTGACTCATTTTAAGGTAAAGAAGCTAGAGAAGGATTAAGTAAAGGCCAAACAGTGCCTTTACTATTTGAAAGCTTCTTTCTGTGTGAATATTAATGCTCAGTGTGAAATCATTTCAGCATAATGATCTCAACATTTAGTTTTCATTATTCATATTATCTCAATATTTATGTTTTCCTCCAAGGCATGCTATGGAATCTTAAAAGTACCTGAAGGGAGTTGGTTGTGCCGCACCTGTGTCCTGGGAATACATCCTCAGTGCCTCCTGTGTCCCAAAAGAGGAGGTGCCATGAAAGCTACCAGGACAGGAACCAAGTGGGCACATGTGAGCTGTGCTCTCTGGATTCCAGAGGTAAACACTTAATTTCTGCCTCTTCTTTTGCGTTACAGACTCCTCTTTTGCGTTATAGACTCCTCTGCGTTATAGACTCCTTCTTGTTCCTTCCTCTGCCTTCATGTCATGATTTAAGATATCTCTCTGGCTTAATACTGGGCTTTATTCTGATGAGCCTGCACAGTCTGTGAAGACTGGGAGAGAGTCCAGCTTATGTTCCCATTAATTAATAACTTTGTCCCCTCCATTTACTCGGCAGTCACTTCTTGGTGTCGTCATGGTATCAGAGCTACCTGCTAGAAAGAATTACTGATGTAAGCTAGTGTTAACCACACAAATGCATCTTTGTTTTTTCTCTTCTGAATTTGTGTATTCAGTTAGGTGTATGGTTTGCATAAATACATCATTTTTGGTTTCGTTTTTGTTTTTTTGTTTTTTTGTTTTTGTTTTAAAGAACCACCTCATTGCATTATCTGCAGAGGATATATTAAAACATTTATAGTTAGGGTTTTTTTGTGTTTTTTTGTGTTTTTTTAAACTAGATTTGGTGGGGAGATAAGTATCTATCTTCTATGTCATATTTTATAAGAAAAGGCTTTTTAAATATATCTGTGTATAAATATGTGTTAGAGTTTCATAATGAAACTTTAAACTTCTTCCTCCATTTTGAATCAAGTTTAGCATAACAGTATTGTTCTGTAAATCGAATGTTCATTCCTGTATAGTTGGGGTTTGTTTAATTTTGTACTTGGAATATTTCTGTTTTCTCTCTGGTAAGATCCACAAATCCATTAAAGGGTGGTTTAATATGAGGCATTAGCCAAGTCTGTTGGCACCATGACATCAGTGGGATGGATGCTTTCTTTTCTGAGCATTCTGCTGCCAAGAGCAGCCAGGCCTCCTGTTTGCGAAACTTTGAGGGAGATGATAAGATTCTAGGGTTTTTTTTGTTTTTTATTTTTTTCTAGCATAGCAATCAGATGCAATGTGTAGTTGTTCCTAGCTCTGTCTCAGGCACATATCTGCTTTTCAAGGAGGTTATCTTTGCAGTTGCACTTTTCCTTTAGGCCTGCTTTGGTTTTTGGCACCTCTTCAACCTCTAAGAAGAGTGGAGTTGAAGAAAAAAAAAAAAAAACAACAAAACCAAACGGTTTATTTTGGAGTTAATAAAATATATAAGTAAAGCAACCTTCTGACTTCTCCTCCTCTGCTGAAGTGTCTTAGCTGGAGGCTCTTTTGGATTTGAGCAGATGGTTTTTCCCAGGAGGTCCTTCCTGCATGTGATTGCCTTGATGCTCTCACCAGCAGATGTGTAGCTGGTAGGTTTGGGAAGCAGGTGATGGCAGGGCAGGAGCCTATGCTGCCTGCTCACCTTCCCTGCGGCTGAGGGAGAAGCTGCTTGGGAGAGACCTCACATCCAGCTGCTCCCACAGCCTTTTCACTGGCTCTAGGCCTCGGCCACCTCCTCCCCTCCACACCAGTGCCTAGTGTGTCAGGCATAGCAAGAAAATGACACCTGGCAGTAGGGGTGGGAAATGCCTCTTGGATCCATTCTGTCTCCTGGTGTTCTGTGTTGTCACTTGTAAAACAATTCAGTCATAGGAGAAGCCAGAAAAACCTTTGGGAATCCGCTAAAATGGCAGATCAGTTCCTTCTGCAGAGTTGTGGCCTCACATGCTACAGGGGACAAGAAAACCCAGAATTTGAACACCTGGGGATAGATACTTTAGGAAAGAATGTGTATTCTCGTATGCCTGTTTCTCTTCTGCGAAAGACAGTAGCACACTGAAACTCCCCCAAAAGAAACAGAGAAATTCTAAAATCACTGCCATTTCCTCTTGTGGCCCTAACAAAATAGAGTAAGACAGAATGAAGAGAGGAATAGGTCATAAACATGTCTGTGCCTTCTGGTAGAAGTTTCAAAGAGGGACTTCCTGAGTCACCAGGTACAGGCTAGCATTGTTGCAGGCAATTGCACCAGGTATTTTCCTTCATTAGCTCATTCAGCACTGTCTTAAAATGCTTTTCCCTCCCTTCCTGGTGAGCTAATGCTGTTGAAAGACTTTCTTGACCCTCACTTGACTGATGGGGAAGTTGGAAGGGTGTACTCATTGCTGGTTTAAAGGGGTCTACAAGAAATCTCGAGAGATGTTTTACAAGGGCATGTAGTGACAGGACAAGGGGGAATGGATTTAAGCTGGAAGAGGGTAGATTTAGATTAGATATTAAGAAGTTCTACACTATGAGGGTAGTGAGACACTGGCACAGGTTGCCCGGAGAAGCTGTGGCTGCCCCATCCCTGGCAGTGTTTAAGGCCAGGCTGGACGCGGCTGGGAGCAACCTGGTCTAGTGGAAGGTGTCCCTGCCTGTGGCAGGGGGTTGGAACCAGCTGGTCTTTAAGGTCCCTTCCAGCCCAAACCATTCTATAGTTTTGTGATACTCTTCTGCCTCTGGTGTAAATGTGTAGTCTAATTCATGTTTTCTTAAAAAGCATTCTTTTTAAAAAATGGGAACATTGAGACCGGAAAACTGTGATGAGCGTTTTGAAATTCAAGGTCCTTCTCTGCCTTAGACCACCCATTACAGTTACGTCCTCCCTCAGTCAGTGTGGGGTCAGCTGAAGCAGAAAGTTTTTTTTCCTTGCTACAACTGGATGTGTATCAAATTGACTATCCTTAGCTGCTGTTTGAGTGGCTGTGCTCCAGCCACTGGTGCAGATCATTGTGCACTTGTGTAGCTGCTTGTGGCGGGTTAGCAGGGGAGCAGAGGACAGGATGGTGGCAGTTGAGATGGCAGCGGATATACGTAGCAGTCACAGAGAAGAGATTTCAACAGCCCCTTGTCTTCACCCTATCCCACTCTTAACACTTCAGAGTACAGCAGTCAAATGTAACAACAGATACAATGTGCAGAAACAACAGGAAACAGCTACATATTACAGCAGATGGATAATTTCTGCCTTGGCATAGAAGGTTTTGGAGAACGATAAATGTTGGCCTCTCTGCCCTCTATATCCCTTGGGAGCAGTGAAGTTAAAACAGACTTTGCCTTGACTCTTCTCTTAGGAACATCAGAAGCATGCAGACAGCATGAGGCCAGTATAAATAAATCACACCTGACTCTGTAAGCTCCTCTTTGTGCTTTTACAGAGTAGGGTAATATAAACAGGCAGCACTACAAGCTGAATGGACAGTATTTCCAACATAAATGTTTCCTGACCTTGAGTCCCCTCTGGTGAAGGAGCTGGGAGAGCATTAAAAGGGCAGAGAGGGACAAGAAGGTCTGTGTCAATTCCCAGATCCTGCTGGGAAGCATGGTGGAAAGTTGGTATTACCCAGTCTCCATTAAAAAAAAAAAAAAATCACTGAAGAATCTGTTTTGTTTTTGAAAGGAATATAGATAACCTGACAAGATGATCAAATCCTTTAATTCCCAAAGTCTTGCATCCTTGTGTAGTGGTAACCACAAGGAGAATTCTAGTCAATCTTTGTAGAACGTTTCAGAAATACCTGTGCAACTTGGAACCAGCTCTGGTTCAAGGAAGGTCAAGTTAGGTTGATGAAGTTAGGCTCACTTTGGAAGTGAAAAAGCTACATTTTATGATGTTTGGGAGTGCTAGGCATAATATTGTGGAACCATTCAAGCATTCCAGAGACAGCTTTGTCACCCACCAATTTATAGGAAGGCCACAACAGATTGTCATCTCTGTCTGATGGGGGCATCACATATGGCCTGCTTATTCTCCTTATCTGATAAAACCTGGGCCCTCTCTGAAGCATCTGTCTTCCTAATAAAGACTTCTGGAAATGAATACAGGAGGTTGACCTCAGTATATTACAAAAGATGTGGCTTCAGCTGGGGGATCTAAAGGGTGAAGTACTATAATAAAACCAATGAGAAATCCTGTTTGAGTCAATATATGTTATTCGTTCATGAACTGCTGATAAACTTTTTAAAATGTTGAAATAAACCAGGTAATCTCTTGCAAGCCTGTCTTCCACCTGGTTTAAGTGATCCTTAGAGCAATGCAGTGGTACAAAGAGAGTAACAGAATTACTCAGCTTGAGCATAGCAACTATGACACTTGGACTTTATGAACTTAGCACTGCTATCTTTGAATAGTTCAGCCTCACCAAGGAGGTCTGCTGAAACAAATCCTTCCCTTTTCAGGGATTAAGCAGGTTTTAAAATTAATATGTGCATCATTATTTTTTTTGCTGATGTATCTCCAGAGAGGAGCTAGGAAATTCAGCTTAGTCTGCTGGCTCTTGTGAAGTCAACTAATTATCACATGCTAAATCAATTCATATAACCTGGATTTCCCTAGGGGAGTCATATTATGGAGTTAATCTTTGAAAATTATTGCAGCATAATGCTCAAGTGTTCTAGAAGAAGAAGAAAAAAATTGCCATTCAGATCTCAGCCTTAACTGTTCTCTTAAGAAATCAGTGTTATACTGGCCTCATAGTGCCATGGGGTATGACCTAGGAACCTCTCTTCTTTGAATTCTTGGATATGACCCCTTTGAGAATAGGCCCCTGTCCCACCATTGGAAATACAGGTCTGTTCTATTCAGGTGAATTGTTCATAAAAATTATGATCTTCCCAACTAGAATCTGCATTTTCTTTTCTGCTTCAGGCAGGTAGCTCTCCAAAGCATATATTCAACTCTCCAAACATACAGTCAGCTCTCCAACTGCTATATTCAAAAAGTGCAGTGTAAGCATCAAAATCCAAGCTTTTGGAGACTGGAATTCTTGGGACAGAACAGTTCCCTCACTGAAATCTTCTGCCATGTGCCATTCTCATACTGGTCCAGTTCTGCATGTCAGTCATTCAGAGCTGGCCAGGTTTTTGTTTGTGCTCTTAGTTAAACTCTGTCTGTCAGGAGTGGCTCAAGAGATGCCCACACAGCTAATTTATGTCTGTTTTGGTGTCCGCTTTATGGGGGACAGTCCTTACTTCCCAGTATGGACAACAAGCAACTGAGAAATTTGTCACAAAGGATATGTGGACGTTAGTGTAACAAAGAATAGGAAAAGGTATCCTGTGCTTATCTGTTTTTCTTTTAGTATTAATATCCATAATCTGGTCTACCAGAGACAAATGGATCATCCAGACTAAGTATGTGAAAACTTGAACAAGAGAACATACTGTGCTTTGCAGTAAGAGAAGTTTGTTGTATTCTTTCTCAAATAATATTTGATGCAACCTGTAGTGAGGAAAGTGTGTTTGCACTGGGAGTGCTCAGAGTAGTGGCAGAACTGGGAAGCAAAGCCTTCCCTGACTGCTGGCTGGTAGATCTGGTTCTGTCCTAAACTGTGGGCTGACGGGAGTAGCTACTGTAGCAGATCTGTGGATCATAAAAAAGAAACTATATGGGTAAGTATGAGTAAGTGTTCCTATTTTGTTCTGATAAGCTTGCATTTTGATACTTTTAAGTTAGACCTGTAAAAGTAGCACAGGGGAAATAAGCATCACTTATTGCAGTCTGTCAACTGATTCATAACAGGACATGCTACAGGTGCCTCAAATGTTTTGAAGAGCCTCAACTTTTAGCCACCAGGTTAAACTAGTAGGATTCCACAGTACTGTTTTCATGTGGGATCTTTCAGGGTCCCTTGCTGAGAAGTATGAGCACATAGAGATCTCTCAGTGAGATAAATGTGTGGTCATATTTCTTCATCTGGTATTAATTGAGAGCTTGTTTCTACTGCCTTGATAACTGCTTTCTACGCTGTTTTGTTTTGTTTTGTTTGTTTTTGGTTGTTTTTTTTTTTAATGTTTACAGGTTAGTATTGCTTGCCCAGAAAGAATGGAGCCAATCACAAAGGTGTCTCACATTCCACCAAGTCGATGGGCTCTAGTGTGTAGTTTATGCAAACTGAAAACTGGTGCTTGCATACAGGTATGTACTTGTCCTCTGGTGACTCTATGTAGTGTGTCATCTATGTGAGAAGGGCAGTTTTGGTTTTGCATTTTGTTCTTTGTGTGTTCAGAGATGCTTTATAATGCAGATGACTGTGGATAGTATGCATACTTCTTCATAGCTGTTTACTATCAAATTAGTTCACTAACACAGAGATTTAGGAGTGAGTTTGAGTTGCCTTCTTTTAAAGAAGGCTGAGATGTATAAGGACTGCTACAGTGTGGGTCAGAGATGGATAGAAAAGTTCTTCTGTTGAACATTGTTCACAAACAACAATATACTGAATTGGGTGGTACCAGCTTCAAAGAGACCAACAGAATGTTTAAGAGTGCTTAGGAAATAAGTTTTGTAGGGATGGACTTTAGTTAAGATAATTCTGTCCTTTTTTCCTGGTTTGTTGCTACTGTTATTGATCAAGGTTTTTTGTTTTGTCTGTAGTGCTCTGTGAAAAGCTGCATCACTGCCTTTCATGTCACCTGTGCCTTTGAGCATAGCTTAGAGATGAAAACCATCCTGGATGACGGTGATGAGGTCAAGTTTAAGTCGTACTGTCTAAAGCACAGCAAGAACAAACAGAATTCGCTACCTGACATTGATGAGCACCCTAAAAGCATGTCGGACCAGAAGCAAATAGAGAGTGAGAAAACCAGTTTGCGAGCCCAAAAACTCCGAGAGCTGGAAGAAGAGTTTTACTCACTAGTTAAAGTGGAGGATGTTGCAGCAGAACTGGGCCTTCCTAAACTTGCTGTAGACTTCATCTACAATTACTGGAAATTAAAGCGGAAAAGTAACTTTAACAAACCATTGTTTCCTCCCAAGGAGGATGAAGAAAATGGCTTGGTGCAGCCAAAAGAAGATAGCATTCATACTCGCATGAGGATGTTCATGCATTTGAGGCAGGACCTAGAGAGGGTAAGAAATTAACTGGTACAGTTTTGAAAACCTGTTTGCAGGTGAGCGAGGTCTTTGTTCGTAGAGAGAAGTGGGAATGGAGGGAAACATAGGGAGATGATTTCAAAAATTACAATAAAGAAAACAAAGCTTTCAACTCAGATCTTCAGTATGCTGCCCTGCCTGCTGCAGAGACTGTCAACAGCGGTCCCTTCTCAGTCCGGTGACACCTGCAGTTTTCAGGTGCTTAGAGATAGTGAATATAAAAAAGGTAACAAATAAGGTATATGTGATAACTGTGATTCAGAGATGTTGGAGAGGAGCGGGGAAGGAAAATCAAAAGAGAGAAAATAGTGTTATAAGAAAAGGGAAAACAATACTGGGGAGAGAAGAACATGAAAATACAGGGAGATAAATGTTAGAGCCAAGATTTCCCCTTCTTGATGTAACTGTTGTCTTGAATCTAGTCATTATCAATCTCGATCTCCTTTTCCAGGACTACTTCAGCTATGGATCTTTATTTAAAAAAAAAATTTAATTAAAACCCCATAACATGCTTCAAATGGAGGGTTGTGGTTTTGGGGCGTTTTTCTTCCAAGAGGCCGTTTCAAACTTTTTCTTCTTGTTTTTGCAAGTAGTTTGTTTGCATCAGGTTTTGTTGATAATGCTTATTCTGAGTGGAGGTAATTCACAGTTGGAAGCATCTGTCTCAGTTTCTGAACTTCTCATGCCACAAGGCTGTACTGGGTTACATTGTGGGATGAGTATGAATTTGGGGATCTTGGAATTTCCTTTCTGGGGAGAGAGGTCCCAGTTCTGAACAGATGAAGTTGAGTGATGGGGGAGACATGCTTGGCAAACGTCTTTCAGCCAGCCCTTAAACTGTTTCTGTGTTCTGAAAGCTTTTTTAACTGTGTATCAAGAACTTTCAGTGTCTCTTCCTGTTCTCGTTACATTAGGTGGAAATGCTGCTGTTAAACAAATAGTGAAAGCAGAATTATGTGAAACAGAATCACACAATGGTTTGGACTGGAAATAACCTTTAAAGATCATCTAGTCTGACCACCTGGCCACAGCAGGGACACTTTCCACTAGAAGAGATTGTTCAAAGCCCCTTTCAGCCTGGCCTTGAGCACTGCCAGGGATGGGGCAGCCACAGCTTCTCTGGGCAACCTGTTCCAGTGCCTCACCACCTTCATAGTGGAGAATTTCTTCCTTGTATCTAATCTAAACCTACCCTCCTTCACTTTAAAGCCATCCTCCTTTGTCCTGTCACTACATGCCCTGGTTTCTCTTTTCCTTATAATTCCCTTTCATGTAACAAAAGGCTTCTTTATTGTCCCATGGAGACAGCAAGGTCTCTGCAGAGCCTTCTCTTCTCCAGACTTGGTAACCCAAACTCTCAGCCTTTCTTCAGAGGAGAGGGGTTCCAGCACTGACCTTTCTTGTGGCCCTCCTGGATTCACTCCAACATGAGTGTCTCCATGTCTGTCTTGTGCTGGGGGCCCAAAGCTGAACACAGTACTGCAGGTGGCATCTCACCAGAGTGGAGCAGAGGAGGAGAATCACCTCTCTCAGCCTGCTGGTCACTCTTCTCTTGATGCAGCCCAGGATACAGTTGGCTTTCTGGGCTCCATGCGCACATTGCCAGGTCATGTCCTGTTTTTCAGCCACCAGAATTCTCACGTCCTTCTCATCCAGGCCTCTCCAATCCCTTCATCTGCCAACCAGATGGGTATTGCCCTGACCCCGGTGCAGGACCTTGCACTTGGCCTTTTTGAGCTTTGTGAGCCTGCAATGGAGTCAAAAACTAAATTGCAAAATGGGTTATCCAGAATGTGTGTATTGCACAAGAAGCCAGAGTATTCTTTTAATTTTAGGAGAAAAAACATAGTTTAGCTGTTAAAAAGCATTCTATGAAACATTTTGCAGGGAAATTCTGGGAGAATCCAGTATTGCCAGCAGTAACATCCCCAGCATTGTACACAGTGGAAGCAGGTTGCAGACAAGCAGGTCTTAGAAATGGCTTACTTTTCTTTTGACTAGAACTCTGCTTGCTGTTCTTATACATGAAAACGTCTTCTACTGTCTTGCTGAATATATTCAAGGCATTCATTAAATTGGCAATGAAAAAGAAAAAATCCAGGGTATTTTTTTTATTCTTAGTTACATATGCTCAGTAATATTCACAAGAACTTTGCCAAGGGATTTACACATAATGTTGTTTAAATTCTGTTGTTGATGCACTTTCTATAACTATGTTGGGATTTATTTTTGTATTGCCTATTAAGTCTCCTATTATTCCTCTGTAGGTAAGAAATCTCTGCTACATGGTAAGCAGGAGAGAGAAACTGAAGTTATCTCACAGTAAAGTACATGAACAGGTCTTCAATTTGCAAGTCCAGCTCATTAATCAGGAAATTGCTGCAGGTAATCACACAAATGTAAAATTTTTACACATTTTGTCTGTATTTAAACTAAAAAAAGTGTTCCCTTTATGTTCCTGCTTAGTGTTTTTAACACTGTAAATCTGCCTTTAAAAACTTTGTTCAATTACGCAGTCAGTGAAAGTAGCAACACACACAAGACTCTAATTTCTTAAAATATGTACTTCAATATTTCTTGATTTTATGGCTGTTTGTGGTATATTCCTATTACTTATCAATCACTGTGGCATCCAGATGGCAGAAACAGCCTGGTGGCGATCTCTAGGTTTTTGCTTCCTTTGGCCTCTGGTTTATGGTTATTTCCCCACAGCAAGCTCTGCCCTGCTCTTTGGTCCTCCAGCTGAGGCGGCTTTTTGCTTGCTGTCACGCTTGGTTCCTTCAGGCAAGAGAGAAGAATGACTGATGGGAATCACTGTTCTCCTGTTGCCTCGCATGCTTGATGAGCACTGCAAAGAGGCATTTCTTAGATTGCCATCTGCAGTTACTCTCCTTCCTTCAAAAAGAGTTTAAGTTCTCTGTTTTTTAAGAGTGAATGGTAACTGGTTAGGAATGCTGATGTACCAAACCCCGCTCTGCCCTTTGTTCTTATAGCGACCCTTTTGAAATAAGGAGCACACCATTTGGAAAGAGGAAGAGTATATATTACAGTGCAGTTACTTTTTTTTAATTCTTTCAGGGTACATATTACGTTTTAATGAGTTAAGAATGAAGTCTTCGAGGTTTTTTTGTTTGCTTGTTTTTTTTTCTCTACCTCTGAAACACAGATAGGTTTCATTAGTACTGACAAGGTGGGTTTTTTAAACTGTTTTAGATCAGACTGGAACTTTGTGAAGCAGCAGTATTCTAAAGCACTTTGGGTTTCTGTAACTGCATTTACAGTGCTGGGCCTGGAGAACAGAAGGCTCCAGGGAGACCTTAGAACAGTCTCCCAGTACCTAAAAGGGGTCTACAAGAAATCTGGAGAGGGACTTTTTACAAGGGCATGCAGTGACAGGACAAGGGGAAATGGCTTTAAACTGAATGAGCAGAGATTTAGATTAGATACAGGGAAGAAGTTCTTCACTATGAGGCTGGTGAGACACTGGCACGGGTTGCCCAGAGAAGCTGTGGCTGCCCCATCCCTGGCAGTGTTCAGGGCTAGGCTGGGCGGGGCTTTGAGCAGCCTGTTCTAGTAGAAAGTGTCCCTGCCTGTGGCAGGGGGTTTGGAACTGGATAATCTCTAACGTCCTTTCCAACCCAAACCATTCTATGATTCTGTGATTTCGTTAGAAATGTCTACTAAATTTATTTTATGACTTTTCTAATACAAGTGCTTTTGTAATGCTTATTGGACAAGCTTGATAGCTGCTCTGCAATGGGTTCTGTATGCATATAATATCATAAAGACTAATATAGTGGGGTGAAAAGACTTTTAAAGTGTAAAGAATTGTATAATACAAAGCAGAGAGTTGAACCAAGTCCAAACTGGAACTCAGTTTGAAGCATTGTTTTTTCTCCATCCAAAACTGAATATGAACCTTTTTTATAGCTTTGTTGGAACTACTTCAGTCATATCTCAAAACTGGTTCGATTCACTGGCTTAAAGCCCTTTAAAAATGGCATGCTGTTGTTTTTAATGGAAATGCTAAAATGCTTACCTAAATTCTGAAACGGTGAATAATTTGGAACAATTTTCATTATCCCAGCTTCTCTTTAATGTCCTAAAATAATTTCACTCTAATTGCTTGCAAATGCTTCTTATTGTTGAATGACCTTCTAATGGACTGTAAGACTTGTTATAGATAACAAAACAATTACTCTCTTCTAAAAAAAGCTTTTTTTTTTCTTCTCTCCCCTTGTGTCTTTCTGCTGTAGGCCATACCCTGACAAGTGCACTAGAGAATACACTGTTCTACCCACCTCCCAGGATCACCCTGAAGTTAAAAATGCCCAAGTCAGCACTAGGAGATTGCAAAAATAACTCGCTGAAGCCTGGCAACAGACCGCTTTCTCCTGACAACAACAGCACTGTTTACAGCAAGCGGAGCGTGCCGATGTCAAAGGAATCATTTGAGATTAAAGCAAAATCTTATGCCAGGTATCAACATGAGAGCAGAAGTAATGGGTTGCTGGCAGGGATTGGAAAGCCTCGGGGTGAGGCAAAGGATTCTGGCCCCACACAGATGCTGGAGTTTCACCGGGGCCAGCCGTCCGGGAAGCCCTTAGCCCTCCAGGCTGCTTTGCACGGACAGGGTTCCATTGGGAATGGGCGGGTGCAGCAGGATAACTCAAGGCTGGCAACAAAGTCTAATGGCCTGATGGGCAGGGCTGGAGATGTGAGCCAGAGAGACAGCTCCAGCCAGACGCCCTATGAGCAAGAGTCCGTGCTCACGGCTCACTTGGCCAGCCAGAGCAGTTTCAGAAAGTCCACCATAGAACATTTTAGTCGGTCCTTCAAAGAGGCTACCAACAGCCTTGTGAGGACCACAGAAGATCTCCGGTGCTGTGACAAGCCAACAAGAAGACTTGCAACAAAAGACCGTTTGTGGAACAAGCAGACACTGGAAGGTGCTCCGTACCAGGACAACGATGGGTACTGTCCTGACTTAGAGCTGAGTGACTCTGAAGCAGAAAGTGATGAAAACAAAGAGCAAGTGAGGTTAAGACGAGGTAGCTCAGAGAGAGAAAGCCCAAGTAAGGACTTTGGAAGAGATTGTCACAATAGAAACAAAAAGAACATGATTTCTCACAGTTCCGTACAAAGGTGATTAGAAGCCCCCACGGGGTAACTCAGCCTTTACGTATTCCAGTGTACCAGTGCAAAGCTCAGCATCAAAAGGTTCCAGAAAATAGTCCAGGACCTACATTAGGAAGATTTGCGATAGGGGATAGGGGAAGGGGAGAGAAATCAGTAGTTCTGTTCAACTGTGAATTGGCTTGCAGTCTCCGCAAGGTTGACTCTGTTATTGCAAAGTCATGTGGAAGTGGATGTGTTTTAATTAGACGGTAACATCTGGGAGAGCACAAAGCAGTTACTCTTCGTGTAAATCCAGGGAACTGCTTCCCCCTTGCCGGTTTATGTGCCAGACAGTGTGCTCGTGTTATGTCCATCTCGTGGTAGTGGACAGGTATTAAAGAAGTCCTTGCATTGCTCTAATGTGTTGCAAAAAAGTGCAGACAGAGACACTGAAACTGCATTCATGTGGCACGTTCAGTAAGGCTTTGATCCAGCAATGCACATGCAGATGCGTTGGGAAGTTAAGCATGTGAAAAGTCCTGCTGGTTTCCCCCTGGGAACGTTTCTACTCCGATCTCTGAGCGCATGCCAGTGTGCTCTGCTGGATCAGGCCCAAAGTGACTACTAAGTGATGATCCTGTTCTGCAGGAGACTTTGAGCTGCAGTGGTGTGTGCAGGCTCCTTGCGGAGGGTGGAAGCAGGCGTCGCTTGTGCTGCCAAACTCGCTGACCTCTAGCCGTGCCCCTGTTCCTTGCTCTTGCTGAAGGTTGTGTTTCTCTTCACAATAATTTGCTTACTTTGTAAATATACAACTTCTATTACTTCAATTTTTTTAATCTCTGTACATACTTGCTTGTTGTGGGATGCACTTGTAAATATTTTACCCAGCTAACAAGTACAGATGGCTAATTTTGTGGATAGTGTTTACAAAAGTAGATGTACTACTTCAAAGAAAAATGCTATTTGACACTTACTCTTAGGCAATCACCGGTGATGCCAGGTTCCTCTTGAAACTGAGATTTCATGTCCAGAGGTGTTTGTACCTGGTACTTCTTTTGCAGGCTCAAATTTTCAACCCTGGTTGCCTGAATGCAGGCATAAGAACCTTACTTCTGGCATCGAGGTCTGTAAAATTTTAGCCAGTCATCATTTGGAGTAGCTTTTTTTTTGTTCTGAAAATCTATCCTGTTACTAAACTACTTTTCAACCTCTGGATCAGTTGCTGTTTCCCAAACTAACACTGTTTTGTCTGTCCTTTACAATTAGCAGTTGTTAAGTAGCGCTTAAATTTCAGCCAGGACTGGAGAAGCAAGAAGGGAAGGGATTTTTTTCCATTTGTTTCAGTGTCAGGGAATTTTTGTTCAAATGCATACAACCTTCTTGCTTTCCAGATGGCGTCCTATCAATCAGCAAAGTAACTGTGCTGTTTTTCTCTGAAATGCTGTACATTTCATAAATATGCCATATCCTCTGTCCCCACACTGCTGGCTGAAACAGGCCGTAGGTTGTGTAAGGCACGTCATCCACCTCCTTTCTGTTGAGGGTTTTATTTTGTGTAGAAACAAAAGGTGTTGCCCACCCAGCATGAAGATGACTATGCAGAATCCAAACCACAACCTGCTTTTCTTCATCATCTTAATTTATTGCTTTTAGCTTGGGAAATGGCAACGACACTTTCAGATTTGTTTTAGACTTTGAAATCTCCCTAGTTGCAATAGAACTAGCAGGTCAGGGGCTGCAGGACTTCTCAGTTGTGAAATAATAATTAAGAAGAAAGAAAAGCATACTTGGCAGTTCTGCTCTGTTTGCTTCAAGCATCTTAATTTTTATAATTTCTTTTTCCACTTCTTGATTTTATGTATATTTGTGTAATTGATCTTTCTAGAGCTGTATCTTCAAAACGATTTCTTTGGTGTAAATATGCAGTAGCATTTTAGGTTTCCACATATTTTATTTTAATGGGAAATGCTTTGTGTTCTAAGCCATGGGTCATTCAGAATAAGTAAACAAATGTTGCTCATTTGTATTCCAGTTCTGATTCTCTTAGTTCTCCTTCGATATTTATTAGTAATCCTTTCTCACTGGTCATGAAATTTTATGAAGCTTGTATTGGGAACACTGATCTGGGAGGTCAGCAAAGTGTTCCTCTTATTTTGTGACTGGCAGCGTATGACAGAGGGGAGGGAAAATGGTGCTTCAGCAAAACTCAGCATTTCTGCTCTTCTGGGCTAATTAATTCAGTTGTTTCCAGTCTGGGCAATGGTTTTGCTAATTTTACATGATTTTAATAGATATATGAAGGAGCCCTTGGTTATGTAGTTCTCAAGTATTGTTCCCAAAGTGCATTTGCTAGTTTTTATTGTGTGTTCGGTGGCTAACTGTTTGAAGTATTACCTCTTAACCTTATTTGTCAATTTTTTTTTTGTGTTTTTGCATTTTGTTTTATATATATAAATATATATATATTCAATTTTCCAAGATGGACTCGGTCTTTTTCAGATGTCCCCTTTTTACAAGTACTTTTTCATTAAATTATGAAACTGCTAACAGTATTTTCATTTGTTGTGATTTATTTAGGGCTTTACCCCTTGTGTCTGGCAGGTTGTTAAACTCATCAGTCCAAGTGCAGTTCTATGTCCAGCAGGAGTAAATTATTTCTGCAGAGCTGGCAATACTTGTAACAAGTTAAGTATCAAAGAAAACCTTTCCCCTTCAGCCTCCCAGAAAAAGTCACTGAACCACTAATTTGCTGTGGATAGCAAATAGCCCAAGCCTGGCATTTGTTTCTGCCTAGCTGAGCAAATGTAACAGACCGTTTGCTGCCCTGGCCTCACTCTATTTTCTTATGCTGTGGTATGACTGTATTTCCCTGGTTGGACAAATTAAGTTGCAGAGGAAGAGCCATAGCCAGGCCAGCTGTCTCATCCTTGTTCTTGAATGCTCACATGCATGCAGAAATACCTAACAGTCAGCTTTTGTCTCATGCGTGCTGCAGACAAATCCATGCAAGCAAGTTCCTGGTTTGATGGTTTATGCTGGTTCTCCATGGCCTTCAGCTGTAGTTCCCCTTGTTCCCACAGGCCGGTGCTGTGCTATACCTTGCTGGCAGAGAGGAGCTGCTCCCTGTTGCCTGGGTGGGGAAGGTGGCAAAACCAAGGAGGAAGATGGAGAGAAAGGAGCAGGTTGTGGCTGCACAACCGATCCAGTTGCATCCCTCCTGCTCTGGCTGGCTTGGTAGCTTGCAGTGTTCAAGAGGGATGAGGGATCTGCAGCGCGTATGTTGGAAGCAGCAGTGACCTTCCTGCCTGTGGTGGCTGAGCAGTGGCCCCAGGCAGGTGGGAGTGGAACTGGGAGTGGGTTGGGTGAAATAGAGCAAAAAGTCCCTTGGCTGCAAAGAAAACAGGAGACCAAAAAAGGGGAAATGCAGTAAAGGTGCATATAGAAGAAAGGGAAAAAACAGCACTAGGAAGAAGCAGTGAATGTTGGATAGTCAGCTGTTTTTCAGGACCAGGATTTCTCTTTCCTTGCTAAAGGCATCCTTGCAGCAGATTCCTGCACTGGACTTCTTTTTGTGACTTTCTGACTGGCAGCCTCCCATTCCGTTTGCAAGTACAGTCTGCTTGTGGCTGTGATGTGGGAAAGACAGGGCCAAAGAAGGAAACTGGTGTCCTCATTATTTTGGAAATGGCTGCTATTGGTTTGTAGAGTCTTTACAAACAAGAAAGTGTGGTTAGTTGTTGACAGTAACTTGAGCCAAGCTCTCACAGGGGCTGTGCGGTGATTCCCAGCACCCTCACTTCCACATTTACATCTCTGTCCAAAGAGAGATGTTCCTCAGCTATAACTTGCATATATCACTTGTAGAATGTTTTCTTCGCACCATGAATCACAAACCATAGAAGGAAAAATTACAGATGTTTAACTACTAAATATAAGCTTGAAACCTTCACCTGATTTTGATGTGGTACCTCAGTGCTGACTAAGCCCAGACACACGGGCTGTACTGCAGACACGTGATGTGCATCTGGTACCTGGGAGGGACTCGGTGTTCAAAGCCTGCCTCTGTGAGCTGCAGAGATAATCCAGCACAACCTGTCATTTTGATCATTGTGAGTTTTGATGATCCCAGTACTCGGGAAGATGTAGTACTGCACAGAACTGACACATCTATTAGGAAGACATGCTTTTGATGTGAATTAATGAGCAAAAGGAAGCTGCTTGCACAACCTGAGAGCTTGGCATGGAAGGGAATAATCCTGGGGAAGGGCAGAGATGTAGAACAATGGAGTGCCTCAGTGTGACTTCTTCAGGAAGAAGTGAAGACTCGGATTTCTGGGCTCTGGTTTCATGAGAGATGCCCTGCTGCTGCTGCTCTGACTCTTCCTCCATGCCAGCTTCATGGCTGAACAGAATTTTGCCCCTCCTGGGATGTATTCCTTTTGCAGAGACCTGGGAGCCTGGAGTAACTGCTCCCAGGCTCCGCTCCAAACCACATCAGCTCATCTGGTGGACTCTTCCAGCACAACTGCTGGACTCTTCCAGAGAGATGTGACACAAGTGGATTAAAGCGACTGCAAGCACAGCTTTCTGAAGCAAAATCTTACATAGCAGTTGGGTAAGTTGCTTGAAAATAGCAGCTGTGCATGCCTGTTTCTGTTCCTCAAGTCAACCCTGGGCAGACAGCTTGGATGAGTTTGTATGACTACCTCATTATGTAAGGAGAAGCAGCCTCAGATAGTATTTTCCCTGCCTCTGTGTGTGCAGCTTCCAGATAATCTTTCTCTAGTAGGCTTCTTTTGGCTGGGACAACCTCATGGTTCCACCTTGCCCTGCCTTTTCTCTGGGACTCTTTTTTTTTTTTTTTTTTTTTTTGTTTCAGGCTGGGCTGACCTTCCCAGCCTTCCCATTGCTTTCTCAACAGCCCTAAAGCTGGCTATCACCAGCTAGCCTCACCTAGGCTGCCTTATCTGAGACATTGTTTTAAATCTTGCAGTAGGCTCTGGAATGACATCTTAATGGTTTCTTTTGGCCTAGCCCTTCTCAAGACATTTTTCCTGGTTTCTTTTTTTTTTTTTTCCGCAGGTGCCTGCCCCCTCTGCCCTCACTTCAGGGAAAAACACTGGGCAAGGCAGGGACACAAGGTGTATTTTGACTTATTTGAGTTCTGTAATAGCTCCAGACATGTTCTGCTAGCCAAATTGGTGGGCCAGTGTCCTGATGAAGAATTTAAAACCTAGCACAACAGCACTGTAGAAAGGAAGATGCCTTCAAGAAATCTGGTCATCCAAAAGTCCTTGAGGTTGTGACTGAATTCAAGATTTGTCACTCTTATTTTCTGTGGTCTCAGCAACCACAAGGAATCCAAGTATAGGTGCTACTACTGGAGTGATACCTCTAAAATTAAAATGTATGACATGCCATTTGAGAAAATGGCTCTGGTTATACCTTTTTGGAAGTGCAAGCCCTAGTGAGGTACCTAATGAGGTACCAGAGAGGGGAGGAAATCATTAAACTAGCCCATCCCCTTCATCTGAAATCACAGTGTCTGGCTGCATTCCTTTGGAGTTCCATCCCTCTTATCTCAGAAGCTTATCTTAGCTCAGTAGTTTGGGAACCTCTGCCCTGGCATAACTGGCATTTTAGGCTCCATTTACATCGGTTGAATAGAGCCTGACCAAAGCACTTCCCCTCCCTAGAAGTGATGGCTCAGCCGTTGTTATGTTATCTCCTCTACAGTGGAGTAGGGGCACTGCCTCACCCTCTCCCTTCAGATTATTCCTTCTACAACAAGCCAGCCATCTCTCCTGGCTTAAGGAAGCACAGAGGCCAAAAGCTGAATGTGCCAGGTGATGTAGATATCCATAAGCAAGTTGGAGTTTATACTTCGTACGAATGGCTGATACAGAAAACAGGCTTCTCTCAAACTGGTTGAAATGCTAAATTAAGCTCAGAGCAGTCACCCCAAACCTGAAGTTTGCTTCTGATTTGGGCCTGAAGAAGGTCTGGTGTGCCTGAAAAGTGCAAACCCTGAAAGCACTATTGCTAAATTACCTCCTCGAATGAAAGATGCTGGCTCCCTTGCACAGCCTTTGCTGTGGCTGTAATTTTGCAGCTGCTGTAGCACATATCAATGCTCTTTTTTTATCCTGAGGCAAGCAAAATGGAAATGCAGGTCACGTGGATTATGAAGACCAGAAAAGTAAGGCATTAATGAAAAATGCCTTGGCCGTGCTCCACTGAAGAAGGCTTTCTGAAGCGCCCTGCTCCCCAGCTGCTCCTGGTGATGTACAGCGAGAATGGGATTTGCCGTCTTCTTAGAAAAGATTCCTCAGCCCGCAGAGCAGAGAATCTTTCTGGGACAGTTTAAGGTGGCAGGAGCTAGCACTTGTGAGTGCTCCAGTGACAACGAAGTTGGAGGTGCATGTGTGGTGGTGTGAGGGGTGTTTGTGAAACACTTGAGAAGCTGGCTGCACTGGGAAAGGCAATATGTTTGCTTATAGTACTGTGTTCTGGGGTGTGATACGCTTTTTCATAGCCACTGTGTAAGAAATGAAGCTCAAAGAAGACTGTGTAATAAACTGCAATAAGTAGAGACAACTGTTGCTGGTTCTGTGAGAGAAACTGCACTTTTAAAGGCTAAATGCTTCAATATGACTCCATGGTAATTTGGTGCAGTCCTTTTTAGAAAAGATTGCCTGGCTGAAATTCTTAATCCATGCTGCATTAACTTCTGTGACAGTGTGACAGCAGTGGGTGTTAGCCTTGATGTAACACATAAATTAATCAGTGGGCACAAGTCTGCTGTTTAACGCACTCCAGAGAGGACATTTACAGAGCAGGAATACTTTGGCAAATGCATGAGTGTTTAAATACAGGACTGTGATCATCCAGACTAGTAAACAGTTGTAGCATCCCAGCGGTTTGATCTCTCCTGCACCTACTTGTTGCTTACTAACAAATAAAAGCTTGAGCTGGACACACAAGTGAGTTCCAAGAACTGTACTTAGCTGAAAACAAGTGTGTGGCAGTGCCAACTCCTGCTTTCCAGCCAACTGATTGCAGTGACTGATCTTTTATTTCTCTCTGCTCTCGCTTGGTGTTGGGGTTTTTTGATTTGGTGTGTTCTCTCCATCCTCCCAAATGCAGTATTATCTGCTGCACTTTGCTCAGCTGCGGAGGAGGCCTGACAGAGTGCCTTGGTGAGGTGCTGGGTCTTTAAGATAGAGACATCTGATATATGGCAATTGCACTTTGTACCAGGCATGGATAAGGCCTACAGCCCTCCCATCTTTAGACAGGGAGGAGGACTAAAATAGGAGTAGAACAAGAAGGCTAAAGGTGAAAGAAAAAAGACAAAGAGGGCTCTAAAGATGAAGAAACAAGAGGATCAGATTTATAAAAGGAGAAAAGAACAACTGCAACCTTCCAGGAACCAGCATAAACAAGTCCTGGTTTATTTTTGTAACCCCTGAAATCACCCAGCACCCATTCTTGCCTGCAGTCCTTATTGGGGGGGGGGGGGGCGGGGGGGAATTTTCCCTGCTTTGTGGCA